CGATATTAAAACGATAAAAAAACATAGCAAAATGCTATAGTTTACTTGATGTACTGTACTGTACATTACCTTGAAGACGTACCGAAAACACCGTACAATCGAGCTTTCAACGACAGAAGCGGAATAGACGAGCTATTCTCAATAATTAGCGAAATGGCCGACGGAGATTCCGATAAATTTGCGTTCGATATAATCATAAGTTAAACAGGTTACAGTTAAGGACCTCGAACTAAGATCTACAAGATTTAGAGTGAGGGCCGCTAAGTTTCTTAGTGGGAAAGAGCAAATTTAAATAACTTAAGGCATCGGACTTTCAGCTTTTAAATTTAAATTTATTTGAAGAAGGAAGCAAAAGTTTTATAACAGAACTAGCAGACAAGCCGGCGTTGCTCGGACAAAGAGAAACGATAGCGAAGATTAAGATTATTACATTACAGCCAAACTTACCCGTTTTCACAGAATGCAAGAATTAGATCCCCTTGTTTCCAGACTAATTAAAACGTTTTTAGATGGGTCTAAAAATTTCCTGCAAAAACGCAGAAAACAGCATCTGCGCCTGTAAATCTTGCACGTTGCTTTCTCTTAACACTTGTTACTGAACACTTCCATTGTCGAAGCGTTAATCCTGTACCTCTCCACCGTGGGTGGAATTTCAAAAAATCCCTTCTTAGTGTGCGTTCTCGTGACGAACCCTAACTGTGTAACAAAGTTCAACTTTGAACTCTTAACCGTTTGGGCTCTGCGCTTATTATTATTATTATCAACCCGTCTCGATTATATATATAGATTAGTTGAAACTGACGTTCGAACCCTCGACGGATTTTGCTTTATATACCCCACCAATGGGTAGTCCCACCCATACAAAAAAAGCTTTGAATGATCCACAATGTTCCAGAACATTCCACAACATTCGAGAGTGTTCTGGAATGTTCCTCAATGATCTGGGATGTTTCAAGATGTTCCCGAACGTTCCAGAACATCCCGGAACATTCTGGAATGTTGTGGAATTCTCTCGAATACTCTCGAATGTTCTGGACTGTTCTATAAATTTCTAGAGAGCAAAACTTCCCGCCCTTATATCTTCAATAGCACGCCCTTCGGATAAAAACGGGAAGCTTCTTCATGGATGGGGGATAGAGGGCTACCACACCCATATACAGTGGAACCTCGGTATACGTCTGCTTTAGAATACGTCCAATTCGGAATACGTCCTGTTTGGACGAAACAAATTTTGCTCGGTATACGACTCAATACAATTATACGAGCCATGTATGAACAAGTAGCATTACTGGTGTACTACACTAGACTAGAAGATCGCGGTGCTACGGTTTATAACTTTGTTAAATTTTTTTTTATTTTTAATTTGTAAGTAACATTTTATTATTTTTTATTAATCATGAATTGCAAAAGGGCAACAGAAAAATAAAAAAATGACTAAATCACAACGGAACTGAAAAAAGAGATTGTTGAGAAATATGAAGGTTGCACGCGTGTTCGAGATTTAACGAGATTTAACTGTTGCATTCCGTATTCCGAGAACGACGATATCGACAATCGTGAAAAATAAAGACATTATTAAATTTGCTAACGTTACGAAAGGGGTTAAATCAATTTTTAAACAAAGATCGAAGACATTAGATTATGTCGAGAAATTGCTTTTGCTTTGGATAACTGAAAAACAGTGTGCCGGCGACAGCGTATCGGAAGAAATTATTTGCGAGAAAGTTAAAAGGATACATGCTGATCTCATGAAAAATCAAGCAGAAACTAGCGAGGAAAGCGAGGTGTTTAAAGCCAGCCATTTTTTTTACATGAGAACGGATTAATCATTTTTACATTACTTCTTATGGAAAAGGTTGGTTTG